AAATCAAACAGAACAACTCGCTTTTAGGTAATGTTTGTAAGTCATTTTGGATGATAACCTTATTGTTAATATTAAACTCATTTATAGGACTTCTACTGGATAGGAACCCAAAGGTAAAATACTACCATAAAGAAGTCAGAATGTTGATAATATTCTGAAGAATATACCTAAGTTATTTTTAAAAGTTATTGAGAGAATTTCATTCCTCCTGAAACCATATGTGGGTCTACATCTTAAAAAAAAAAATCATGTGTATTTTATTTGCTCTTGATGTAAGCCATTTTTTATTCTAAAATAATCAATGAAAAGTAAATGAATGTGATTTGATGAATTTCTGGCCATGTTTCATTAAAATGGTTTATTGAGTAATATAAAAACATTTTCTTTTCTTACAAAATAGACATGCTATGAAACTTATACGTGGTTGGTTTGTATGACTATCTAATTACTCATCTGTCTATCATCTGTTTATGCATCCATCCACTTATTTGTCAGTATTATTGGATAAAGACTGGAAGGGGCATGTAGAAAATATGCTTAACAAATTCAGAAGATGGGTACAAAAACGCAGTCAAAATAAAAAGAACTTAAGTACAATCTTTAGGATTTTTTTTCAACACAGTAAAAGAAAGTACAGTAGCTTATTTCTCCTAGAGGTTTTATTAACATAAAATCCTTAGAGCTATCTTCAGCTGCAGTAGAGTACAGCGCACCTTCAATTAGCTGCTGAATCCTTTCAAGTCCTTTTTGCTAATATAATGGGCAATGCATACCAGTGCTCTGTATTTGGTACTATTTAGCTGATGGCAGCAAAAATACAAAACTATCAGGAGCAGAACAAATGGATGAGAAAAATTAACTCCACCAAAGTGGAGAGGAAAAAAAAAAAGAACACTAAAAACAAAATCTCAGGATGTCTAAGTTATTTCTTTCTTTTCTTTCTTTTTTTTTTTTTTGAGTAGCATTTCTTTTTATATATTTTAATTTTTATTAATTACATTTTATTCACTTTTATCTCACCCTGTAGTTCCCTCCCTTTTCTCTTCCCAATCCCACTCTTCCTCCCCCTTCTTCACACATGCCCCTCCCGAAATCCACTGATAGGGGACATTTTCCTCTCCTTCCTTCTGATCCTGGTCTATCAGTTCTCAGAGGGAGTGGCTGCATTGTCTTCCTCTGTGGACTGGTAAGGCCATTCTCCCCTCAGGGAAAGGTGATCAAAGAGCAGGCCAATCAGTTCATATCAGAGACCCTCCCTGTTCCCATTATTATGGAACCCACTTGGACACTGAATGGCCGTGGGCTACATCTGTTCAGGAGTTCTAGGTTATTTCCATGAATGGTCCTTGGTTGGAGTATCAGTGTCAGAAAAAAACCCTGTGCCCAGATTTTTTGGTTTTGTTGCTCTCCTTGTGGAGCTCCTGTCCTCTCCAGGTCTTACTATTTCCCACTTCTTTCATAAGATTTCCTGCCCCCTGCCCAAAGTTTGGTTATTAGCCTCAGCATCTGCTTTGATACCCTGCATGGTAGAGCCTTTCAGAGGCCCTCTATGGCAGGCTCTTGTCCTATTCCCTGTTTTCTCCTTCTTCTGATGTCCATCCTCTTGAAAATTATTATTATAGAAAGTATCTTTGAAATTATGAAGAATGTTTTTCGAATTGCTATTCACTTATGAATTTGAAATATTATTATTGAGAAATAAAACATTGCCTTTGTAGAAAGATACCATTTAAACCATAAAATAACCCAAAAGAAATGAAAAAAAAACAACAAAATACAATATGGTGCTGATTTTTAACTAAAATCACATATTGTCATAAATCTTGTAAGACAAATAAGCAAATAAGCTCTTATTTAATTTTTATTCCTATTTTCTTTAGAAATTGTTGAGGGCACTGAAAATCAGGATTTGATATTTGAATTCTATATGAGAACATTTCTTTTGGACTTGGCTGTCACCACCAGTAAAGAAAGTTGTCCCATACACAGGCTATCTTAAATACAAGTGGCACTGCCTGTCATGATGCTTTTTAAACAAATTACCAAGAATATATTGACTAAAAAAGTAGCTATATACATGCTCAACATTTCCAGTTTCTACTGAGTAAAATGGTCCTCATGTACATTGTATAAAACACTAACTATAAGACAGGCTCTGAAAGCATAATTTTGATGTTTAAAAGTTCTATGCTGTTCTACTTCAAGTATTGCCTTCCCTGCCATGCATTAAAATTACATACCTCTACTAAATGTGAGAGCAATGACACCTATTTGTAAATACTTAGTAACTAATTGAATAGGATTACTTGGGTATTACTTAACTAAGTAAAATGAGAAGTAATTCTCAATCATTGCAGACCAGGAACTTTAGTTTCTTTCCCTAGCATCCAGACATCAACTCAGATATTAACTTACTCATCAACGGTGTCTTGAAATTTCATCACAGCAATCAACATGAATCCACACAGGCCACAGGAAAAAATCCTTCCATTTAGAAACAATGTTTTATAGACAATGCATGTCTCATATATATTTTTTACAACTAAACTTTAGCCTGTTAAACAAGTTAATAAGTTTCAATAACCTATATTTTCTCACATTAAGTAAACAAATAAATTTTAAAATATTTCAGCTTAAATTAGCTAATGTTGTAATAGAGTTTCTGTTGTTCTACTTGGAAAGAAGAACCTAGTAAATTCTAATTATTTTCTCTGAATTTAGATAGCCAGAAATAAAAACAGACAAATATAGACAGAGCGATTAGGCAGAGATAAAAAAGCTGAGAAAAAGAGAGATATCTCAAATATACTAATTTCACATGATTATTTGAAGGTAGCATTCAGGACCACTTTAGTTTAATGTTTCTAAACATTCATCATTCCTTGCACATTAAAATAGATATTCACTGATGCAATGAATAAAAGACATTAATGGATCCACAAATAAAGAAAATATTGTAGCTAAACATTATTTTAAAATGGAAGTTAGTATTCTTTCCTGAGTAAACTATAGAGTTCCCCAGTCTGCCTCTCAGCTTCATAATAACTTTCCAGTATATTTCACAGGAATGTGTACAAATAATTTACATTACAAGAAACATTTATATTGGGAATGTCACTCTTATATTAACAATGATTTCATAAGTATTGGTAATTGCAATGTACAATGATTTTGATCCTCTTTTAAGGATGATAGTCTCTTTCCTAAGACACTACCTTTTGATGTAAATTGAAGACATTGTACTTCACTGTAATTTAAATTTTCCAGCATAATTAGTTAAATATTTTTTTTTCTACAGGAGAAAATACACCAAATACACTACTACTATAGCTTAAAAGATAGAAAAATTACAGTTAATATTTAGAGAGAGGTTTGCTGTGCTTTATTATTTTAAAATGCCTTAAAAGATGTCACAATATATATAAACTTCACTTACTATATATCGCTTTAAAAACTATACTCAATGTGTTCCTTATCTATCAAACACAAAAATGAGCTTGTTTACTGCTGTGCATTCTTATTATGATATCCAGTAGTAAAATGTGCCTAAAAAGTTTTACAGAAATTATAGAGCATACTAGAGATATATTCTATTTGCTTATGTTGAGAAAACATTTTAAAGCAAAGTTGTCTCACCACTCAGGATGCTGTTGGGGTAAAAGATAGAAAGAGCCATTTGTTTAAGCCCTAGTATTTAAACAAGGATTTATGTGAGGTCATCCTTAAATACAATAAAAATTTTGATGTGAACGTATAGTTATTGTTCTGTGATGAATATAAATTTCCTTTCGATTTGAATAAATCTAAATATGTAGGCATAGATTTTTTGAAATGTAGGTGGATGCATGTTTATAATGAAGTTTCAATATAATTTTTAAAATTCCTAAGGTTATATACTGCAATGCAGACAAAATCTTATTTTGAAAGGACCATCTAACTGACCAAGAAGTTACAAGACTTGTAGTCTCTCACTTGAAGGAATCTACAATATTATATCTTAAATATACTACTAGTATCCTGAAGACTAATTTTTAAAATATTTTATTAATTACAGTTTATTCAGTTTGTATCCCAGGTGTAGCTCCGTTCCCCATCCCCTGCCAATCTCACCCTCCCTCCCTCTTCTCTTTCCTTGCCCCTCCCCGAGTCCACTGATAGGGGAGGTCCTCCTCCCCTACCATCTGAACATAGCATATTTAGGTAATCTATTTAGTATATATTTATTTATAAAATTTTATTTATGTTTTCATTTTATATAAAACATCATTAAAATTTCCTCATTGTGTTATACTGGAGAGTATCTTAGTTGTCTCAGAGAAATCATTAGCAAATATCTCATAGTAGCTGGAATAATGAATACTTCAAAATTATTGTTATTATAGCAAATGTACTGAAGATAAGCTTTCAGAAAGGTAATCCATACAAATAAAATAAATATTATAGCTAAATGCAGTACATTATATATCTTTCTCATCTTTATCAATGTAAAATGTCTGTTTGGTACCTACGAGAACACACAGATGTAAATCCAGAGCAGCAGAATCTGGCTTAGCTGTTGTTGCATACATTAAAATGTATTATGAAACTACAACCAAAGCTAAAAATAAATGAAGATGGATAAGAAATATAAAATCTCTATCATGTTTTTTCATCTAAAATTGTTTTCCAATTTTATAATATAAATGATAGCATAACGCTTTTAAGTATCAAGCTGGAGCCTGCCAAATTTTTTCTTGTTAATCAAACCTAAAGTAATCAGTGTTATAAAATGCCCATAAAATCAGAACCTATTGAGGAGCGTCAAATTCCCATTTTGCGAAGCTCCAAGGGCCCTATAATTATGCCTGTGATAAGGAAAAGTTGTATAGAATCACTGTGGGCTTTGTAGTTTTTCAGATATGCAATTAATGGTCTAGCCCACTAAGACAAACAGCAATGCTAGCACTGATAGGCTTAAACAGAGACTTTACACTTGGTAAGCACGGGAAGATGTCACTCACCTTGTTCAAGTGGTTGACTTTTAGTTGAAGTAGTTTTCATCTTGAGTGCCTCCCTAACAGACATGTCACAGCAGGAGCCTTTGTTAGTGTCTTGGTCACTGTCAGCCTGATCACTGTCCCCGTGCCCACTGTCTCTCAGGCTGGCTCTTTCTGGGTCCTTAAACGTGGAGCTACTGAAATACATATAAAGAAAAAGAGGAGAAAGTGTTGTCTCTACCAGTTTAAACCTGGAGAATAGTCTCTTGCAAAGCAATTTTGACACGAATGCAAATGGGGAAGCCGAGAAAGTTATTTAATAGGCCTTACCTTTGAACAAACTGCTGCCTGCTGCCCATGTAATTGGGCTCTGCGGGAAAATTGTCTGTCTGTGAAAGAGAAGGAAAAAAATACGTATAGTTGTACACTGGACAAATCCCCTGCAGAGCAACAAGATTTCCTAGTGGAGAAATGATTAATAATTCAAAAATTCTCTTAATCTTCAGATTTGTACATTTTAATTGAATTGGAAATTGCTGACATGTAATTATGTACTCAGAACAATTAAATGATTCCGGTCCACAAATTACCTGTTAAAGTAAACAATGAACCTGTCAAAACTGGCATTATCCATTAGTAACAGGATGGATAACACTATCTACGTTGTTTCATTACACAGATATTAAGATTGAATATTTGTGGGAGGAGTGGGAAAATGACCTAATTTCTTCATATTAAAAGTGTGCATTATTTAATAACACTCATTTTTATATGTAATTGCATCATCTGCTGGGATTTTATGCCCTTCCTGATGTAATCTCATGGAAAGTCATCCACTCCATTAAAGGATAGATAGATTGGCTTTCCTCAAAATTTTACTAGGAATAGATACAAGCACATTGTGACTGCTTGAGTTCATTTTTAATTCATTTTTAAATACATACTAGCTACAAAAACTATATTCAAACAATCCGATGGAAGTGGGTATTACTTTCTGGGTCTTTCAAACAGAGTGAAAATAAAAAAAAATTAAAAGTTACTTAAAGTATTAAGAGTAACAGCATTGAAAAGGCAGTCTTGTCGTTTTTACTGCTTCCAAACTGACATGGAGTTCTGCCAACAAGAACTGAATTCTCCTTGTATCATGGAACAGAGTCTTTCGGGAGAAAGAGACTGGATCTTTCATAGAACTCCCTATACTGTACATTCACACACGTTGTTCTTCGTGCAGCTGACTCGGTGACAATGCTTCTCCTGTTTTCTGCATTCCTTCATATCACGCTAGTATGCTCTAGAGCAGCAAAGAGTTAGCACAGGACCAGCCAGCACACAAGTTTCAGACACGCGGAGCATGCAAGACATGAAACAAGAGGGCCAAGGTAAGGTTTAGTGCAGTTAAATATGTGCTTTCTTTATAAATAAGACTACTTTATTATTTTTTTTTTTTTTGCTTTCTGTGTAGTAAATAAATTTATTTGGCTTTGTGAAATGGTACTGCAAAAAAAAATGGAGATGGGTTCATAGAAATATTTTACAAATTTTCTTACCTATCCCAAGTCTGAGATTTAAAACACAAACACACACATTTCTTAATCTGTAATCGTTTTACAGAGACACAGTGACCTTTCTCAAGCTACATGTGAATTCAAGTTTCGCCTTAATCATTTTTAATGAATAGTGGGTAGCCCATATTTTTCATCATTACATATGTGAACCTGGATTTGGTGAACTCATGATGACAACCTAACAACTTCAAGGAAAACTTTGACTCCCAGTAAAACGAATATGGCTTAACTAAGTAGATGGCACAGTGTTTACAAACATCCTGGCTGATGTTAAAAGTATCTGCAGAGTGAGAAATACTAAAAACTTGATAAAATATAATTTGTCATTTCAGATGGTAAATATTTGTATCCAGTTCATTATTACTGTCAGGAAAAAAGCCAAATATAAATATTTTATAAGACTTCAGAGGAACAGAGTACAGTATGTTAACAAGAGAGTAAAAGAGGAAAATAAAATTGAAAGTTAGTTAGAAAATATTGGTGTCACTATAAATACCAATATGACTTCCAATTGTTTTAATTTGATGTAACTTCTTAAGTTTGATTCCTGTTCAGTGAGATATACAAGAAAGACTGAGAAAGTTTTTCTCCTCTCATCTTAAGTACAGCTTCTGAAAATTCATGCATATTAGTAAAGTATATTCTCCCTTTGAATACAGGACTAAATGATAATAGATTCTGGGTCCATTAATGCAAGCATTGCTAAATGTGAACAGAGCACATCAGTGCTGCTACCTGCAATTGTTTAGAAGAAGTCTGAGAAACAATAAGAAAAGAGAGAAAAAGGGATTTGGAAAGGACAAGAAGAAAGATAAAAAGCAGAAGGAACAAGCTAGAGAAAAATACAGAAAAAGGGGTAAAAATAAATAGATCTATGAAGGAGGACAAAACAAGTGAAAAAAAATTTAAAAAAAAAACAAGACAAAGAATACATGGTTATGATCCTATGATCCCAGAGCTTTAAAAATCACAAATATAGAAGCTTACAGAGTGTCAAAATTTTAGGAATTTTTTGGACTTATTCACTAAAGTAGCTTAGAAAGCAAGAGACTGTTAGTTTCTATAAAATTAGCACACATTAGCCATTTGGCTTTTTACAAATACACAACCATTTCACTCTAAAAACCATATAGGTTTAATGTGGACAGTAAAATTTCTCATTATCTGTGCTCAGGGGTGTCTGAAATTCGTTTGACATTATTTGACTATAAAATAACAATATTTTTGCAAAAAGGAAAAACATGAAAGAAATTCGTGTTAGCTCATTTATTAATGATGGCTTTCAGATAATTTGCAGGACTTTACTTTTAAAACTGAGTTCTGGTTTGTACAGAGATGACACTTTAGTTTTAAATCTTGGAAGAGAATTAAAAAAAAAAAATGAGTTCTGACCTTTACAACTCTTTAGCTTTCTGGAGAGTAAGGATTTTCTCCTAACAAAGCAGGTCTGAACTAACACAAAACTGACTGTGACTTGCTCTTTTTGTTTTGTTATGGTTATTTTATTTGTTAGAGACAATAAACATTTGGAAATTCTTTTGACACAAACCAACACCAAGGCACATAAATAGGCAAATATTTATGTTGATTGTTTTGCAGAATATAAGATTCTTCCCTGATGATTTGCCTTTATCCACCAATACTCACCAAAGTACAATGCATTAGAAAATTCTGTACACCTGAGTATTTATATCATCAAAATAAATAATAAGCTATTTCTAAGATATACTACCTTCTGAGACATGCTTATCCTAGAACAATTATGAAGCACAAAAAATAACTTAAAAGCAAAGTAAGTAACTAAGACTATATACATATACATACAGTAAAATTAAATCATGTTGGCTAAAATGAGTAATATCCTACTTGTGAAAGAAAATATGCTATGCTATTTTCCTGTACCTTAGAAGTTAACAAAAGGAAGATCATAAAGACAGGGAGAAAAGATTTTTTATTATTAAAATTGAATAAATAAAATCTTAAAAACATCAAATTACCAACATCAGCTCTAAAATTTCTCAGTAAATGTGAAATAAATTCCTCAATTGAATTTGAGAAATTATGAAAATCCAATATATTAGCAGAATAATAATAAGCTAATGCATATATGAATTAACAAATATATAACTATATAGTATAAATTTATAAAACTGTCAATATATTGTAATAAAAAATAAAATAAAAATATATTAAATGTTGTATTCCTAATGTGGATGTAATACATGATTATCCCATATATTATATATACACAAACAGATATAAAGCTTTTCTTCCAGGCCAGGAGATCTTGTCTCACATTTCCTGTCATCACTGGGCTGGAGGAGCTACCAAGTTCAGTAAAACATATATAATGAAAAAAATGACATACAAATTGGAAATGGATAAAATGTTCTCAGGTAATATTTACATGCTACAATATTTGTGTTTAGGTAAAAGAGTGCAAGGCATTAGACAAACTAAACTCCCTAAAATTAGTAAATGAATTATGTCAGGTGACTTTATTAAAGGACATCACAAAAAACCAATTGCACTTCTAATTCTAGAATGGAACCAAAAATTTAAATAATGTACTTGTAGTTTCCTAAGATATTTAGTAAAGAAATACATGTTTAAAGTTCCTATTTAATATTTATTTTGGAACATTTGAAAAGCGATGATATAAAGCTGAGATCTCAATGGACAGATTACCAAACATCTGCAATAGACACTCTTTCTTTGCTTATTTTGTGTATATGAGTATCTTGCCTGCATGTACGTACGTTCACATATGCATACCTGTTGCCGCTAGAGGTAAAAAGAGAGCATTGAGTTCCCTGAAGATAGAGTTACAGGTGGTTATAAAACAGAATGTGGTTGCTGGGAACCAAATCTGGATCCTTTGCAAAATCAACAAGTTTGCTTAATTAGTGAACCATCTCTCCAACGCCTACTGGTGTTTTTTGTTTTTTTTTTAATTTAAAAATAATAATTTATAATTTCCCATTGAATTGTTTTTATACTTTTTTCTCTTCAGGTTTGACATTAAGGTGAGGAATGGAAGATAGAGTTCAAAATTTATATAGGGACTCAGTTTCATTATGCCTTTTTATTCTTTTTCTAATTTTTATATATTTATAAGGTCCTCATTAAATCCCATAAATTCTGTCACCTCCAGCACTGATTTATTATTAACTTTTGGCCCATTATGAGTCCGCCCCCCCGTACAGTATAACCGTGAAATTCTTTATCCAATTTAAGGTATTGTTACTTATAGGTTGTTGAAGGCTAGATTATTTTTTGGCCAACCTATGATCTGAGTTAAATATGTGCTAGTGACATGAACTCATCCTCTGATATGAAGGACGGACATAGGTTCATAGGCCTTCCATCTGGTTAAAAAAAAAAAAAGAGGAATGTATGAAGACATTAATAAATATCAGCAGTTTCCAATCCATGGTAACCATGTCTCCTCAAAGGTGTCATGTTTGAGCTGCCTGGGCTGTCAAAATCAATCCCCTTAATAAAATAGGCTCACTCATAGTGGGTGGTGTAAGTTTGTTCTGGATAATGAAGCATGGAAAATACTGTTTTATATTTAATCACGAGAGTGTGATTACAATAATCACAAATTTCTTTCCAGCAACATTTACTTAAATGGTGTGCATGATGGTGAAAAGTTTCTTAGAGAATTCAGCTTCCCAAAGCTCACACAGTCCTTCTCTCTTCCTTTTGCAGGGGAATGCCTGATGACTAGTATTCTGACATTTTTAAAACATTGACTACAAACTACAGTCGAATGGTGGGGTCTAGATTTTTCTCATCCTACGATTACTTTACAGACTAAA